TTAAAGCCTCGTCTACATAGAAGTCGTACAGTCGTAGTCGTAAGAATAGTCGACTATGATTGGTCAATTCTTATGTGTCTGACGAAATTGACCAATCGCAGTCGATTATTCTTACGACTACGACTCTGCGACCCGCATTGTAGACCACGCATTAGTGTGTCGTACTCTGTGCGAATAATTAATGAAATTTGGAGGCGATAGATCTTGTACAGTCAAATTATAAATGTTTCACAACAACATTGAACGTGAAAACTTTGCAATAAAAGAAATTGTACGCATTTTTACGTAGAATTAAAGTTATGAAAAAGTACGACGAGTAAATTAATACAATAATAAGATAGAATGGCTCGCATTAATATTACGATACCATAATACTTGAAACATAACTAATCTACTTTTAAACGTTATAAAATACTACTTTAAATTAAAGAATTTAAATGAGTTGAGGTACTTATAAATTGTTAGAAACATAAACTATATTTATATTTAATTCAAATGCCCCTTATATAATTATTAAAAAAAAAGCGAATAAATTTCTCAAATTAACATTTAAGATAATGAACATCATAGATGATTAAGCCTTAAGAAATTGATCAACGTGCAGACACACGCCGCGGGGAAGTCGAGCCTAACCTAACCTAATCCTAACCTAACTCTAACCTAACCGGTGACACGGCACGTCCGCGGGGCCGCCCCACTCCGCTGTGTACAAACAATTCGATGACGGGACGCGTCGCGTAGCGCGCTTCGCGAACGTCAATCCGACCCCCGCGGCTCGTCGCTCGGATAATTCGCTGGCGGGCGGCCGTTTAGATGGATAATGAGCGAGTCCGATGACACGGACGTCCTGCTGCTGATCCCGCCCGACATATTCCGCGTGCCGTCCTCCGACTCCGACGCGAGCTCGTGCGAGCGGAACGCATCCGGGCCGGGCGCCGGCGTCATCTCGGAGCTGGTGGGGCACATGCAGTCGCTGGAGTGCCGCGTCGCCGCGATCGAGTCCCGGGACAACAGCCTGGACACCGTCTCCGCGCCCAACGGCTCGCTCGACGACTCCCAGCCGGCGTGCGCGTCCTGGCCCTGTCAGCGGCAGACCCTGCCCAGAAGCCGGTTCTCCGTAAGTCAAGGCGCCAGCCTGCCGAGCACCCCCGTGAGGCCGCGCAAATCTCTGTCCGTTCCCTCCACCCCCAATGGGTGCTCGTCGCGGGGCTGCGTTAACTTGCCGCCGGGAGACGCGAGGCCCGACCGCCGTCTCCCGACTAACACTAACAGTCTCGCCCGAGTCAAGCATGACGCTCTAACTTCGTACTCCGACTCCTTCGCGGCGCCTCCCGCTTCCTGTGGTACTGGGCTCTCGCATGCTGTCGCGTCCAAGAGGGACTCCCACCCGCCTCTTCGATCAGACGATTGTACGGGTCGCAAACCCCGCGATTCCTCGACGATACCCGTGTCAAACGCGTCTAATGGGTCGCTAGGTCAGCTGCCGCACGCCCGTTCTAGAATAGTGCAGGAGATGGAGCTGTCGGAGGTCGACGAGTTGCTCCAGGAGATGGAGGCCACCGAGCTGGAACTGTCGAGAAGAATAAGTAGCACCGGCGGGTACCAGTATCGCAGCGAGCTGCTTCACCCGGTCCTGCCGACCGTCGACGACACGAGCGGCCAGGACAGAGAAGCGCAGTGTAAGCTGGGCGCACATCGCAGACTGGACTTTCAGTCCTGGGAGAACAGAGACGCCCAGCTCACCGACGCCTCGTCGACCCTCTCGCAAAGGAGGACCAACACTGCATTCGCCGACATATCGTTGCCATACGACGATTCGTTCCACCTGAATGAGACTGACAGAATGATCTCGGAATTTAAAACGTGGGAACGGAATCCCCGGCAGCCTGTTAAGTCAAACGGATACACGGTAGAAAGCGCGAGGAACGTAGATCATTCGTTTGACGCGTCGGCCGCAATCGACAATGCCAAGCCGAAGGAATCTGCGGCGGGACCGAACGTTCTAACGTTAGACGAAGCAGATAAGAGCGGCGTACATGTCCAATCAAAATCTTCCATTGCAAATACAGGTCCTGCGTCGCATATCGGTGAATCGGCCAAGCTTCCTGGCGTGACTCCGTCGAAAACCGTACAATGTAGTAATATAGAACCCTTGGATCTTTGTAAAATGTCACAGCGTAATGAAACTGTGCACGATAAAGAGAAATCTGATTGTGTGCACGTTGGAACGAACACAGATCTTAACTTGAGGTACTTTATATCCACACAATTTTTACCAGACGTTAATTTTCTTTTAACATGTGTATATAGAGAAAATGTTTTAAAGCGAACTAAAATACAATTACTATTATTACAAAACTTGTTTGTAGAAAGTGCCAACGACTCCTGTCACTTTCGGATTTCTGGGAATCTAATCCAAATAGATCGCAGGAAGAAACGCTTAGAATCAAGATAGAAGAGGAGAAATTTCGTAGAGAGGTATTGTGAACGTAATAGAGTGAGTATGTAGCATAAGCATGATTGTTTATTCTTATTTTAGCATTGCGAGCATCTGATTCAGGAACTTCAGAAACGTTTGCTGGAACAGCAGGAAAAGGTCGCGGTAGCAGTTAGGGTCGACAATGAGAAAAACGTCTTGATATCTCAGTTTCATACATCTTGGTCTAAGTTGAAGCAACAAGTCGAATTATTAAAAGTTGAGCATAAAAATTCGCAAACTAATTTGCAGAATGTCATGGAGAAGCATCAGTCTGAGATTTCAGAATTTCAAACTCAAGTGAAACGGCTGGAGGGAGAATTGTCGAAAGCTCTAGACCTGGCGGCTGGATATAAAGAGAAGAGCGACGCTACGATCAAAGAGAAAATTGATTTACTGAAAACTCATGCGGATGAATTAGAAAGTTACAAATCATTGGTACAAGAGGCGGAAAATAGATATGAACAAATGAGGACAAAATTCAATGCGCTATTAGAGAAGAATCAACAAAACGAAGAGACATTGAGAACCGTTCAATCGGAATTGAATAAAGAACGTTTGAGGGGAGGCGAAGTGCGAAGTGAGATGGGTGTCATTCACAAAGCGCTGGATGCTTGTGAAGCCGAGTTGACAGTGCTCAGACAAGAGAAAGAAAATTTGCAACTTAAGCTCAAAGAAGAGATGAATAGAAATTCTATTTTAGACCAGAAGAACTCGACGTTGCTCGTATCTATCGATGACGCTAAGAAAGCGGAAGTAATATACATATCTATTTGTCATAATTATCAAGTTTATCATTTTATTGGCGCTTTATTTTTGCGTCTGTTGTTTCAGAAATTAGCTAAGGATGAAACCAAGTCTATTGTGGAGCAAAAGGAAAAAATCAGGGCGGAGTTACAAGAGGTTTATCAGAAGCAAGTTGACGAGGTGGTGAAAGCAAAACTGCAAGAATTTCAAATGCAACTTGATAATGCCGAATCAGAATTCTTGGAGGAATTGAAAACAAGGCAGCAAGTTATAGCCGAATGTGCCGCTAGGAAGATAAAGGATGTTATCGATAAGTTCGTTCGCTATACATATTTTTATAGTGAAATATATGCAAATTAATCTTTTAATTGTAAGTTGCATAAATATTGGATTTTTTAAGGCATCGTTTGGAAATAAACTTGCTGGAAGAGAAACATAAAGAGGAAAAACGATTATGTGAGTTACAATTAGCTCAAGCTTTACAGAGATCGTCTATACTAGAAATGCAGTTGAATTCTCAACGCGCAACAAAGTCGCAACTTGCGGAGCAATTGCATTCTGTTATGCAAAAGCAATGGCAACAGGCTCTGCATATTATATCAGGTCGGTCACAATTCGAATTCACATATAATTACTTGTTATAATTACTTGTTAATATTATTATAATTATAGTTTAATTAGATTAATGTATGTATAAAGTAAAAAACGGATTATTACAGGCAGCAACATGGATAATATTTCTTTGGTTCAAAAAATGCACGCAGATAAATATTTTGGCTCTAAAGGTCCTAAGAAATCTGAATCAATGCCAAATTGTTACGCTAAACTTTCTCAGGATTCGATAAAACATGTGGCTCAGACATCGGAGACACATAATATGAACAGCGCACAACCTCGTGAAGATCAAAATGAAAGCGTGATAACGATAAATTCCACTGAAAACATGCCATTAATCAATAGAGATGAATCGAAGGATGATCTTCGGAAATATGTGAAAATGGTAAGTGAAATTAAAATATGAGCGATAGTTTTACGTATTCACGATAGATATAAGTAAATTTCTTACAGATTACAGAAATGCAGCTAGCAAGGGAAGAAAGAGATCCACATCCCAGAAGCAGCATTTCGAGTCCGCCACTGGGGTGCAGGGAGGTACCGCGGAAACATTATTTAAAAAAGGATTTGAGTATAATGAGTGAGGAGGACAGCGTCACGTGGCAACCAAGTTCCGAGGTTTGTTTATCATAATAATTAACGATAAAGTGACGCACATGTATGTATATGGATAACGTCATCTTTCCTACCAGACTATACACGATGTCAGTGAACATATATCTCTTCCGCAAAGGATGCTTACAAGAATAGATCAGAAAAGCAAGCCCCCGTGGAAATGACACATAACATATGATGACGACGATACCGAAGGCGTGGACGAGATTGATTATGCTAACTGAACTCGGTACAGTGTACTTAATTAGCAGTAATAAGTTTTATATGAAACAAATACCAATATCTATTTTTCAACAAGACGGCAATTTAATAAAGATTTTTTCATACATTACATTAGAGTTTGCTTAAATTTCTATGTTTCCCTATTCTTCCCCATTTTCTTAACACGGAAAGATGGCATTCAATATCATTCTGTAAATTAAAAATAAAATAAATATCAATGTAACTTTTTCTCATTTGTTTTTAGATAAATATATTTTTTATTTTGTGCTTGTCAAAACTTTAAAAAGTTTTACGAAATTATATTACTCGGTATATAATTTTATATGGTTGAAATAGGATAATAATAACATGAACGTGATAAAAAAATATAATATTGTTGCTACATAAGTCTTGCGAACACTATAATTAATATTAATTCTTATATTATTAGTGCAAGTACTATTCTAAGATAATTTGAGTCTATTCTTTTCTTATTCTGATATTCCTTAGTTCTCTTTGGTTTTATTCTGTTTTAGTTAATTTCACGACAGTATTAATATAATACCTAGTATAATCTTTATGTTGCCTATTCTCGAAATCTTCAATTTTCACTACGACACATTAGTTTTTGCGTTCCGAAATAGTTTCAGAAGTTATGACTATTGAGTACGTAGAGGAAAAGGATGTGTGATAAGGTAATTAACTGAATTGATAAGTTTATCATGTAGCGGGAATTCAGGGTGCGTTCTAAAATGACGAACTGTTTCATGTGTCCGAACATAATTAAAAATATCTTCTATGTATATTTAATGACATAAATCGGACGGAAAAATGTTTGTGTAATATGTCTACGCATCAAGTGTATCGTTGTTATATCAGTCGGAAAAATCTATATTCTTCCCTAATATTTGTATCTTTCGATAATATTTATTTATTTAAAAAGAACAATGGTTTATTTCTAGAAAAAAGCATTTTCCTTCCTGTGAAGGATTCCAAGGATGTACTTCCTGTAAGAAATGTTGTCTTATTCGTGAAGGGATATACTTTACGAAAAATATATTTGAGAGAATACCGTGTCCCTTGATAGATATCGTAGAAGTTATATAATCATTTAATAAACAGATTACGCAGGCCAACAATTTGCGGTCAAAGTGTCGATAAAGTTATTTTATTCGAACAACTCATTCTAACGATAAGCTTCGTAGTATATCATTTACAGGGAAACGACTAAACTCAAACTTAGATGACCTGAATAATCAGATCTGAGGCCGTAAGTCTGACGTCATTTCTTTTTTGTCGGAGTGACACGAACAAAAAGTTTCAAGCTGACTTAAATTAGGGGACAACTCAATTTTCAGTCGCAACGAGCTTTAGTATAAGAAAAATTTCAATTTTTCCCCTATTCTTTTAATCTCGAGCAATTATAATGAATGTACTTTTTATTTCTTTTCTCGAAGAATTTGAGGCAATGCAACTAAATGTAAAATGTATACATCGAGGGTACACATAAATAATTGCTATTAAAAAAGAAAAATATAACATATATATAAGAATATTTATAAGATCTCATATGGTTTGAATTCTTATAAATTTCCAGAAATTTATAATAATATAATTAATATTATATTATTATGTTAATAATATAAATATAATTTGTAATGAAAATAGAATTATAGCGAAATATAATCGAATTCGTCATGCACGAATAAAACTTTTTGTATCAATGTCACATGTTAAGCACGTTTGTTTCGAGTAGATTGCTGCATACTGATTGGTTCGAATGGTACATTACCGAATCGATTTTCAATTTGTGCATGGTGAATAATAATCGATACGTACTGTGTAGACTAGGCATCACCGGTGCCTTCCCATATAAATTTGTGCACATATGTATCGACACATTTATACATTTTGTATATACATACATAGAAAATCTATGTATTTTACCTGTGCCTAAATTCATATGGGAAGGCATCAGTGATTCCTAGCATACATAAGTACTAAATGTATGTAGACAGCATCGAAAATTTCTGTAAGCACATAAATAAGTCAATAAATTGTTGTTATTTTCGACTTTATTATTTTTTAAAATTGTTTTAAGTCAGTATTCGATTTTATGCACTAATAATCTATTGGATGGAACCGATCGTTACGGCATTGTATTCAGCACTCACGAGGCGGCATCAACTGTTTTAAACACTTCACAGAACTCGTTGTTGATGTAAATGCACTTGAATTCCACAAACTGTTAAAAACACCATCTTTAACGTCTTGATTCACCATCATGATCGATTTCATTGTACTCGCATCGATAATTTTCAAATCATGAAACGTCATCACTTGAAGATCTCGTCGAGCACTTTTTTGCAAAAGTATTTACTTTAAAATCTCCTTACAGGCAACTGAAAACAATAATCTACTGAAGCCACTCTGATCTTTCAAAATTATATATCCTCTCAAGAAGATTAATCATCTAAAATGATATGTACAGTCGCAATGTAACCGTTTTATCTCATGTGCATAGGTATGTGAATCATGTTGCGAAAATTTTCGGTGTTACCTACGTGAATGCGGCGCTGCTTGGAAGCGCATGGAAGCAAAGCATTAAATGCGTCGCTCACGCATCGATACGATGCTGTGTCTTCGTCTAAAGAGCCTTGACAAATTTCAATTACAATGACATATAAATTTACATTGCATATGTCATTATTATTTATAATATATTCAATAAATACATCAACCTCCATTGGCACGTCCAATGTATTCAAATTAGCCAGTGCTACCACTGTTTGATGACTAATGAAGATACATCTGTATATGTATCTCTATTGCATACAATAAATACAAAGATCAAATAAGTGTAAAATAATATATTAAAAATATCAAAACGTATTACTTTCTCACACATTACACATCTTATGGTTCAAGCAGCAAAACTATTTCTTCGTATCTTTACCGGAATACATTATATTCGGAGCCTGGATTAAGACTAAATTCGTATATTCATTTATTCAATTCAATCGACAAAATGATCGCAAGCACATCGACGATCGAAAAATCAACTCTATGCAAAACAATCTCTATCTTTATGCACGTATTACGGTATTTTATGCATCAGTGAGACCACCACGCCGATGATATCGGTATAAGCGCAATTCCACTTTCTTACGAGAGACGACACGATCGTAAACTCCGCAATCGTGAGGGGATCGCGAAAAATCTCGCAGATCGTGGTCTCTCGGGCTGGTCCCCGAGCCGGGGAACGAAGCCTTGAGAGAACGGGACAATCCGGAGAGAGAACAAGCGACTCGGGGATATGGAGAGCGTGTTTCCTCAGCTATAAACGGCGCTCACGCCTACGAGTCTCTCCAGCCGAGGCGCCAGTTATGAGGATTGTACACGCGTGGAACAAGTTGCCGATTGAAAACGGAGGAACAGCAAGAATGCAAAGGGAGGAACGTGATAGTGGCCACCCCCTCCTCGTCCGTGTGTAATAGTCATGAGCCGCGCGTTCATTCTTCGGCGTGTACGTGGCCTCTAGTCGCCGAGCGAGCCCCGACGGTCGAGGAGAGACGTAGCGCGCGCGATCCAGCACGGCCAGCTCGTACCGTTTGCCACGAGCGGTGATTCTGAATGCGCGGTGACGATGCATCCCGGAACGAGGCGACGTTCGGGATTCTGCTGGTTGACAATGACGCTGCTCGTCGTCGGACTTCTCGCCGGCGACGCCGGCGGCGTTTGGAGGAGACGGGAGGATAAGACCAAGTGCCCGAAAGTGAAGGGCATACGCAATTTCGACATATCCGAGGTACGGAGTCCTCTGCGATCTATAAGGATCGCGCGATTTCTCGCGACTTATGCATTTTAAATGATTTGCTTATACGTATGCATATAGAGGGAAGTCCCTTATGAGATAGGCTCCTAATACGAGATAGCAAGCATCCAAATTCAATCACATGTCTTTTTTTTCCAACGATTTCACAGTCTAACAATGAATTTTCCATCAAAGAAATTTTAATCCAAGTGCAATTTTATGATGGGACCAACAGATGATGCCTATTATTTTAGCAGAAACTCCGCCTATCTCATATTAAGAGTCTATTTTATAATAGGAGACTCTCCCTCTGATAGAACATTATCTCGTATAGAGGTAGATGAACAATTTCAGTTCTTTTTCGTGTGTTCCACCAGAAACCGTGAATTTCAATTGTATAAAATCAAGCAGGCCGCTTTCATGTGTGCACTAATATCACAATTTGACTTTCGTAATTTTACTTAATTTCTACATTTCTATTTGAAATATATATATAACAGACTTAAGGTTTTAGATTCTAAAGTTCTCGAGTATTTAATTTTCACAGCCTGACACGGAAATTTTTCTCGAAAAAAGTCTTGGAAAACTCCATTTTGGATTCATCAAGGGAGAAATTAATTATTAGACTTTCATTCGTTGACTTTTGAAAAGAATAATTGACTTTTATTAATAACAACATCCTAATAATTATAGTTGCTTCCATAGTACGAAATGAACTCCCGTTAATTGAGCTCGAAATTGTCACAAAGTTCGACACTTTCACCGATTTAAGCATTACTTTTGTCGCCCCATTTGATCGAATCGCTCATGTGGAGCGAACGCGTATTTGATCCATTTCGTTCCACGCGCGATATTGGTGCGAAATAATATGAAGTGTCCTGATATATTATCCACCGCTGATGTGACTTCGAAAATGGATAATGAACATTTACCGTGGTCGAATATGCTGATCGAATATTAATTATACGGAACGCAATCCAAGATTATTTAATACGGTCAACGTGCAATGGCAATAGAAACGATCGTTTACCGTGCAATTAACGATAATATATGATTTGACATGAAAATAGTGAACACTGTCAAACGTTTGCATTCCCAGTGGTAAACCGCGAATAAATTCAACGCACACCACCGCGCGCGCTATTAACTTCTGGACAGGTTTTGAATTAGGTATGTTACAAAATTAATAATTGTGCAGAGAAAGTGGGGCAAACGTTTTGACGATAAAAAGCGACATGTTCCGTTTGACTTGTGAGCTTTTTAACAAGCGAACAAAAGACCAACAACTTTGTAGAATGCAGAGTACCTATACCTTTGGAATTTGCGCGTTCGCGTTTAATATCCATTGGAAACCCATTCTCGAAAATTAGTCGCATCGCGCGCCAATTAAATTTGCGCTCTTTGTTCTCGGTTTAAACAATCGCGTAGCTTTGTTGCAAAGACTATTGAAAATCGTCTATAGAAAATTCAGTAATAAAGTTTTACGATAGAAATTTATACACGACAATCGTGTACTATAAATGCGATTGGAACAAGCGTAATATCTAATGTTTAACAATAAATATATGTGCACTCAGTTGTCTGATAAATTTTAATAAGACGGGAAGAGAAGGAAAAGTGATTTTATGCGAAAATAAGTATGTGAAATATTAGAACGTTTATCAGTTTTTATCGCACATTTGCGAATATGGAATATTAAAAATGAGCGGTACTTGCGTAGTCTTTCTTTCCAGAGCTACGTTCAGCGGATTTATTTTTAGAGTTGATATGTATTTATAGAAAGCTATCTTGGACATACATATACGCGACTATTTTCGTAGGTTTTCTTTTGTCATAAATGGTGATATGTACTTTAAGCAAAGTGGATTGCGTCTCGCAGATGTGTCCTAATCCTTATATCGCTTTAGGAAAATTTTAGTGTAAAGTATAGTATAATCTTTAAAAAGATATAGTTTGGTATCCTTTATCAGTACAAAAGAGTCGGACTTCATTTTAAACTATTTCTATATTCTTATATTTTTCGGCATAAATTCACGTGAAAATTTCCATGTTTAATACACGGAGAGAATTTCCTCTTAAAATTTACCCTGAAAATCATGTAACCGTGGGACAACGTGGCATTTCCAAGAATTTTATGAGTTTTTAAAATTTGACTAGTAGAATGTACGGTAAAAAACCCTCATAAAGATCTTCAAAATGCCATGTTGTCCCATGATTACGTGATTTTCAGGATAAATTTTAAGAGAAAATTCTCTCCGTGTACAAGTTTGAAAAATGAAGTTTCGTACGTATGAAATATATTACATCGCGTTTCGGACTGAATCGCGTGTGACGTTATAAAAGATAGGCCTTGAACCGGGACACATAAACATATATCTTATGATAACCCGAGAAAAACGCCGAAGTGTCTCACGCTTTCGTTGTAAGTCCGACCAATTTGTTGCGTGTTTTCATATTTTCGCAGATAAGATATTAAGCACATCTTTTCATGCTTTTTTATTTTTCACTTTTTCCGGTAGTAGGTGAAAATATTTATTCTATCAACATAATCTAAAATACGCATTAATAATAAAAGATTACGTTCAAAGCTTCGTGAGAATTAAAGGCGAATTTATACACGATATTCAAAATGTTTTTCTAGTTGTAGGCCACAGATGACATTATGAAAATAAATTTTGTATGAAACTTTTTTGAAATAAATCAAATATACAGGCCAAATGCGTCAAAATGTAATATATTAGATACATAGTCTAATTTATGCAAGTATCTTTGAACGATACAATTAAACACGTAACGCATTGTGAAAAATAAGAAAAGAGTGTTGAACGCGAATCGATGGGAAATAAAAATTGGAGAATTGTCATGTGTCACGCTTTCGCGTTGAAACGAGGTGATAATCATCTGGGAAATTTCTTCAACGCATTTCTAACGCCATTTACCATCGAGTGCGATCGCTTGACCCGTTGGTAACGCGCACATTTATTAGCATACGTTAGCGCGAATAAAATCAGCGCGGTAAATTGTTGCGCCTATTTCACACGTGACTTGACGCCTACATGCACTCGCACGTAACAGACACCTTGCTTCTTGCAGTTTCTTGGATCGTGGTACATAGTACAGTACTATGCAAGCTCGGAGGAAGCTCTCGTGTACAGATGCATGAGAGCCGAGCTCTCGGTTTCGCCTGAAAACGCCGAAGTTACCATGAATTTCACTTACAGCTTCACCGACGATCCCATTAACGAGTTGCTCGTTGGTAACATCACGTGGAAAATCCCCTCGCCGGACTTACCTGCTCACTGGATCCACGCTGAGTTATCATGTAAACGCATAGTTATTACTCACACTCCGTAATCATCTCAGTTCTTCCGATTTTCTAATACACTGTGCAGCGAAATAAAGTTTTATACACATTTTGCATTCTACTCTCTTTTATCTTCTAATTTATTTTCTAAATTTTAACTAGTTCTCAATTTGCTCCATCTTTTAAATTGACTTATCAATGTTGAACCAGAGCCAAGCAGGCGGGAATAAATAATTTACATTCGCGATGCCTTTCGTATTCATTGAAACAAGTTGTTTATTTGTACTCGTTCGCGCTCGTTTGCCTCGTTTGATCAGGAGCCAGTTTTATGTAACTCTTTTCCAGACTCTCTGGAAAATATACTTTCTCGAATATACTTTCTGTAAATTATCATCATAAGTTAACGGTACAAATAAATAATGATCTTTCGCAGAATTATTTTACGGTTGCACAATTGTTTCGTCATTTTTCGAAATTCTTCCAGACGAAGGAGTGTACAATACGTATGTGCTAGATTCGGATTATAAGTCCTGGGCGTTACTAATGCATTGTGCTGAGAAGAGCGAGAGCCCACGATATTTATCTAGCTTCATCATGAGCCGTGAAGTGAGCCTCGGGGCAAACGTCATTTCATATCTTCGAGAGAAGCTGCCCAGGTACATTTGTCTCGATGTTACTTTGACTGAAATTGTACGAACATTCCGAATAAAATTGTCTCTTCCGGGCACCTATCATGAAAATGTCACGGAATTGTTCATTTATTTTCTAGATTTCTATTGTGTTTTCGAGGGGAAACGGAATAATTCCGATCGGAATCCATTCCGAACATTTCCATGATTGGCACCCAGAACTTATTTAAAATCACGTAGTCACATGCTTCAAAGGATAATCTTTACGAAAAAAAATAGTTTTTTCAATGTAACATTTTTAAAGAAGACTCGAATACAGTTTAGATCGTTATTTCCGAGATTATTTTATCAATAGCGCCTGAGGAAAGCGCCCATGAAGAACTCAACCGTAATAATTTCTTCAAAACTTGATTAAATCTCTATGCATGTTAAAGATGCTTGTTTTATAATAAGTAACTAAACACTTGTAAACTTGTGGGAATTGAAGCAGATGTCATTTTGTCGTGTTATCTTATAAGGTTATTAAAAGTAAAATATTTCATACGCAGGTACGACATTGACTTGGAGTACATGTTCCCCATGGACCAAAAGCAGTGCAATAAGACGGAAAACCCGGAAGACGTGCTCGTGCCGGCACTGACGCCAGTGAAAAGAGGCCACGTCACCAGGAGGCATCCGTTGAAACGGAAACATAGGCGCCAATAAATTTCGCTCAAATCAAACGTCTCTCCTTTACTTTGGGCTAATTTTATTAATTCAATTAACAACGTGTTATAATACTCTTCGTCTCTTCCTCTTATTTATAATTACACAATTGTAATGAACTTTTTATTGTTTTCTTTAGACCCGTCGTCTCACCTCTCAATATCTTAGCACAATTCATCCAAATTTTGCATTAGCTGAGACAACACGCGCGGCGGCACGTGTACGGTCATCACGATCACCGTCATATCATTATCATTAGCATAACAGTCGTCATCAGATTATCACTCAACGCACCTAGTACTTAATTACTGGATATGGCAGCTACAACTTATAAGAAATATTACAAAATCACTTGTGACTCATGCTCCACGCGTTTTCGCAATGTTTTACGCATACGAACGCTATCACACCGCAACGGGCGATCCTTGTCTTTCTCTCCCTCTCGCGCGCGCGCGCGCGCGCGCGAGAGAGCATCCCCATTGCTCGGCAAATTCACATCTGGCTTCGTGAAAAAAAACTCGGTTCTGTCCGACGTCGCGGGTAATGGTCCTCGCAAACGCGACATCGCGCGACGGCGTCGCGATCTTTCCTCCCCCTTCGTTTATATGCGTTTCTGAAATATATAATAATCGAGCGCATCTGCCGCGACCGACTCACGTCATCCCCGGTCGTGGCCGCGCGGAATAGGAAGAACGCATCGGGGAGGCGACGCGCGTGCCTCGTAAATTCGCACGTACGTTTCGAGATCGTTGCGGCGACCGAGAGAGAAGCAGACAGAGACCGACGGAGTCGAAGCTCAAACAGATTCGCGATAAACGCGGCGCGTTATCAACGTTAGACTATCATACCCACGCCCGCATGTACACACGCATTCATTCCTTCGTTCTACGGGCATATGCATATCACCTATTAGTCTCCTAGTATTTCTTTAATATTAATTAGTCATACATTTAATCTTTTTTTTTAATCATTTGTAAATTAATTACCTAGTTGTTAAGTTTGTATATTGTAAACCTGCACTCGCGCGCATGCGACTGCGTGCGTATGTATGTGCGCGTATGTCTGTGTGTGTGTGTACGTGTAGTGTGCACGTGTGCGCGTGTGTGTGTCGTGTAAGTAAGTGGGCGGGTTGCATAGGTGGGTGGTACGTGTGGGATGCGCTGGTGCACGTGTGTATCTCTCTACTGGAGAGACGGCGTGTTGTCCTCATTATTATTTCATATAGCTGGTAGACTATCTATTTATCTGAAATTTACGCTTTATAAATATCCTATATTAAATCCGCACTTCTTTTTTGTTACTTCGTCATTCGATTATGCGCTTTTGTACGAGGGGTGTAAGGTAATACGAACCGAGTGACGTTACAGCTTTTGACGTGTGCCCATATGTGTACGTGTGTCGCGTACGTGTGCGAGCGTGCGTGCGTGAGTGCGTGCGTGCGAGTGTGTGTGTGTATGTGTGTTTGTGTGCGTGCGCGCCTGTCCGTTTGTGTGCGTGTGTGTATGTGTGTGCGCTTGTACGAACTTAACAATCGCGTACAAGCACGTCCGCGTGAGCACTTGTAATAATTCTCTCTTGCCGGATCGGTATCCGCCGTCCGTGCATTCGTCCGGGATGTGCGGTACGGCGCCTCAAGAGATACAAGGGATCGTCGGCCGACGGCGGTGCGCCGGCGAACGTTTGATTCTGCGACCCGGAGGATGATTCTCGTGAACAACGACGGCGATGAATGGGGGATGAGAAAGGGGGCTGGGCGAGTGCACGGCCGAGCGGGCGAGCGAGCGAGCCGTCTCGCCCCGACGGCGGTCTCGATTGTCAAAAGTAGAAAGGTAAGAGAAGCTCGGTGGGCGATTAGAGCGAGAGAGACGTAGACAGAAAGAGAGGGTGGAAAAAAAACGAGGAAAAGGGGATGGGCGAAAGAAGCGCTCGCGCATACGCGTAGATTCGTCGCGGCGGGGACTGGCCGCGACGAGAGATGAACACTCGTTAGATATTAGCAGAAGTACTAGACAAAACCGGCGAAGTTCTCTACTGCTTAAAGTTACAGTTAAATGACGGACGGCCGGCAGTGCACCAGTTCCTATTTCCTATGCCTTGTCTCCACTGGAACGATCAGGGAAACGCAGGTTGCGGTTATTGCGACAGGGCCTTCGCCTTTCGCTCTGCACGTGTACACATGTATGCACATACATGCGTATAAATATGTACATGAATATGTGTACACGTATGTGTATTCATGGGCACTGCCGTGCCGCACGGTCTCTAGCTTCTTTTAGTTCGTTAAGTAATTACGATAAAGTACGATAGGAGGCAATTACAGTTTACGGAGAGTCGACAGATTCCGCGGGTAAAAGGGCACGAGGATGCAGCCGCTCGGATGGGGGACCGTGCGACATGATATCTCCTCGATCCGCTCGTTGTCGCCGTATCACTGCGCACAGTTCGCGTAAACCCGATTGCCTCGAGCGTGGAACCGCTGAGAGAAATTCGCGTGTGTGAGCTCGGCACGTAAACCGTGCCGGGAATGTGTCGAGAGAAGCGACAGATTTTGCGCGGAGTAGAAGGGAGAGACACGCATTCGTTCAACAGTCTCAGTTCAAGAGAAGTCCCAGCTGATCGGTGCGTCGCTCCTCGTCTTCAATCTTTGAAACTTGTTGAAGAGAGGAAGACGGAGCGAAGGGTGATGGGGAGAGATGCAGGGGAGAGTTGGTGGTCCGCGAAAAAGAGCGTCCGTTTCTAGACGCGCGTGACGACGTCATCGCCGTCACTGATCCTTCGTCGTGCTCGATGGCGACGCGTTTCGTCTCCGGATGAACCGACGCCCCGCTGACGAGCGCGTCAGGACGTCCACGAACACTGGTCGCTGGTGTCTCCCCTCGTTTCCCGCGGCTGGTAGTCAACAGTTACACAGCGATGGAAAAGAGTCTCGTGAACACACGGTCATCGTATAGTCGCGCACTTGGACCGTCTTCACCGTCGAGCCGATCGGCGGCGGGTGTGCTTGCTGGTACGCTGGGTACGTCCCACGTGCGCGACGTAGCTGTCCGCGGCGTGTTCCCGCTGGGCGCCGCTGGCCATCGGCGTCGGATGCTCGCCGCGACGAGAGGGTCGGCCGTGGTACGATGATCGTCGTGGCACCAGCGATCACTGCTTCATCCTCGACGAGCCGTTGCAGTCCGTGGTGACGATGTGACGAATCGGCGAAGACCGCTGTCAGTAGACCCAAGAGACGGGCACCCACTGGGGCGTCGTGTGGACGCGCTCGATCGCGGCCTCCAGCTGGGCGATCGTCTCGTCGAGGTCGTTGTTCACGATGGTCAGGTCGAAGAAGTGCCCGTACGCCTGCTTCAGCATGTCCGACTCCTTCGCCAGGCGCTCCAAGCTACCGTCGAACTGAAAGCACCAGCGACGTTGTTACGGAAATCGAAAGTTGCCTAATCGGTTGAGATTTTCAAGGCATAATTTGGCGGTTTTATTTCAAGAATATTCAATGCAGGGATATATTTATTCATCTTTCACATTTCTCTTTGGCTGTGAACACCTCTCGTACATCTTCGCGCCGAATAAGTTGCACGTTTGAATAATTCCATGTCTATATATTTTTACGAAAATTATGGATATAATTTGATTAATCCAATGTCGCGATATTCTTTACGCGTGTACATGTTTGTAAGCCTATGTATCATTTTCATATTAGCGTTAGAATTCGGCGTCTAATAATTTCCTCCCAAAGTGTACAAACGGACTGCACTTGGTTGATTAGTCATTCAGAACAAGTGAAGCAGTAATTGTTTGCCCGATTAATCTGCCAAAACCATGATTCAGTTGAAGATCACTGAACTGTTCGCATAATTGCATAATTGGTGCGCAAACATCCCTAATTTACATCACACATCTAGAATCGAGATCGTTCGGTTGAATTAAAAAATTTTTGCGGATACAACGGCGTTTTCCGCGTACATTTTTCGATAAGCTCTTTGGCTCGTAACCCGCCAGTGGATTATGTGCGCTACTACGAAATCCTCTTGAGCATTAATCTCACTTTACACCGTAAACGTTTCAAGGCTAGTACGCTTATGGTTTAGTTAGAAAACGTGTACTATGGAAAGATAAATTAGCATATCCTTTCTAGATACATTGCTCTTAATTAATTATACACAGAATAATGCGCAAAACACAACTGACGTTTGCAATTTACAAAATGTACACTTGTTTTTAAATATTGTTTTAATCGTAAATGTAAATGATCAACGATTCAAAGTTTTACGAATTAAGTTAAAAGCGATAAAATGATTACAATATTCTTAATTACGTATACGATTAACACAGCTCGTAACTATTGTAACCGTTAACTTACTGTTCAGAACAGAAAATTTTATTAAACTTTAGTATAAATTTGTTATACTTTTTATTACAGCGCTTGTACATATAAAAAACATTTATATTTTAACACAGCAGCTTCGCCGAATCATTGCGCGAGGTGCAATTTCCGAGGAAGGTTACTCGAAATATGCAATATACAAATTCAGCCTTCAATCTTGAAATTATTTTCATACTTACGTCTGTAACGTTTGCAAATGCTGGTGCAGCGATGAAGACGACGTAAGGTGCAAATTCAGCAGTCCGTAAAACTTTCAGTGCCTGCGGTTCAACATCCAATATGGCCATTCTACCTTCTTCGTGAATTTTGCGAATAGTTTCGAGCTTAGTTCCGTACATAGCATCTTCGTGCGTACCTGTTCGTAAAATAAATATTTTAGGTTTAATAATTTTAATATTTTACACAACGTACACTACTTTTGGCCCTTCAACATCGTGAAACTTGCTATCTACCTCTAAATGCAACAATTAACAGTCAGTGTTTTATTATCAATCTTTTTACAAGTAAGGAAATTACTAATCAATTTCAATAAATTTCTGTTCTCAATTCAAAAGAAAATTTGCGTGGGCGTTTACCGTATTCGAGATATTCATTAGCAGCTATATCTGCCATCATTTCATCGTGTGATACGAAATAGTAGTTACGACCATTTTCTTCGTCATTTCGTGGAGGCCTCGTTGTATCTGCGAAAAGAACATATTGGATAAGTCCTTCGATAAATATTTATATATTTTCTACGATCATTTATAATACACCGATCTTTAATCCTTCACATTTTTGCAATTGTAAAAAACGACATTTGATCAGGAGGTATCGTAAAAGACTTACGCGGAATAGGATAGGCGTATTTATCGGGATGCTTGGAGATAATCGTATTTTTTATATGTCGTCGACCGACGCCATGTGCTCCCAATAATACTAAAGTTTTCCGTTGGAAGGCAGGATCTGTGTGCAAAGAAAAGTACAATATAATCTTTAATAATTATTTGTGCCCTGTGTTTAAATTGATTGTATTGAATATGAACTTTGCGACACTCTTATAGAAGAGTCCTCGATAATGTGCAGAGAAATAGACAAAGATGTTACATGAAAGAAATTTTAATTTGTGGATTATTTAGAAATGAAACTTACAAGGAAGCTTCACGACCTCTTCGTAGGTCACCAGGTCCAGCTGGTCGAAGACAGCGTTGTGCTTTGCAAGATATTTATCCTTGTATTGCTTCTTTTTCCGGCCGAATATTGAGCAATTTACTGCAAACAGAAAGAACCGTGAATACGTATAAACGCCGGCGAAACCGGAGATGAAGCTATCCCTTCTCGGAAACGTCTGCCCGGTGTAAACTTGCAAATTACTGTGCAAGTGTTATGTTACGGAATCCATTATCCGTGCTAACTAACGAGTCCCGTGCCTTTATAGCGTCGATGAACGACCGCTAAACCGAAGGGCGATCACAATACCGTGGCCGTCGCATAACGGAAATGACTCGCAAAATGAAATTGTATGTACGTGTATCACAAGTGTATCGGCCAATAAACGTGTATCGACGACGATGTTTCACGAGATGCAGGTTTTCGATACGTTTTAACAAAGCTCCCTGGTTTGTACCGCCAGAGATCTCTAAGGAAGGCACGAGGGATATCTCCCGCAGTTGCGCAAAGGGTCGTTCACGTCGCTAGAATATGCCCTGATGTTACTTCCCTAGATATCGCCTAACACGGTGTGTTATCCTATTGGAAACGTAGTACGCATCGACGCGTGCACTTAATATTAGCATTACCCTCTGGAGTATCTCGTAAAATTAATGCTAACACGAGGTGACACGAGCTACTCTGCGAATATCGGCTTCTCGAGAAAGCGGAATCTTGCCTATTGATATTATAAAAAGAATTCATTCAGTCAGCCAGTCTGAAGGAAGCCATGCCCAAAGGCACTCGGGAGTCCTATTGAGAGGGGTGTTCCAGCAGGTCACAAGATGACAACCATGATTAACTGATGCGTGAGATCTTAAATAGGTGTCATAATCAGGGAGTCGTGGTGAATTGCCTTGCGAGTGTTAATTTACAGATCACAGAACTACGGCACTAGAATACGTATACTAGGGTGATTCTCGTTCTCTCTCATGTATGACTACAAATGAATATCGAAGCTGCGGACGATGTGCAAGCCGCGATATCTTGCCAAAATATCGTTGAAGATGGATGAGAACGCGTGGACGCAACGTGAAGGAAAAAAGTGACGCTCGTTTCAGAATTCGGAACGATCGTAGGGAGGAAGTGCTCGTTTTTCACACTTTTGGCAAGATATTTCCAAAGTACTGTTGCTCGCTAACATTTAGAACAATCAGTCGATTACGAATTGTAAGCCCCGATTGTGATCGTGCTGCCGCGAGTACGCTTGCAAGTGAAATCGTGCGAAATAAGCATAAGTGCACAGAATGTTTTGTAGCGGACGCATGCATTAAAGCACGCTGCGTAAAAGCATCTATTAATTTATAATGCAGAATGCACCATGGTACTCGTATTAATAAATTATAATTGGCATAATGCTCTCCGTAAAGTTTCATAACGTTGCAAAATTTCTCATTTACACAAAGCCTGGCAACTTTTAAAAGCTTTTTGTTACTGATGCTTTAATTTCACATCGTCGATGTGAAATTCATACTCATGCATTGCGTGAGATACTTTTACAATTATGTAATTCAATAATATTGATGAAGATACGTGTCAAGTAGGTAAGTACGTAACAATCGATATTTTTGAAATTAATACGCAAGGCTCCTTTATACAACGAATCCTTATTAAATTACAAGATTGTTGCATATCTGTATTATATTTTACTGTAGAAAATAAATTGCCTAGTGCGTATGTTGTATGAACACCATTTGCTTCACTGTCTGACGATACATTTTTTACGTGGACTAACTATAAAATGTAAAACATATAGTTTTCGAAACTTGTTATCCAACTTTAATAATACATTATACAATTCCTTGCGAATATTTAGTTAATGTGGTGCACAAGTGTTTGATCAAAACAGATATTTCGCGCGTAATATAACAATACTTGTTAGTATTAACGTTATAAGTGTCGCTCGCGCGCATTTATATTGTGATGAAATTTCGAGAATGACAAATTTCACGTGCGAAATGAACCGCGCGCCCTTTCCCGCAAATCGGCGAAAGACTTTTTCGTCCCACTTTCCAATCTCCTCTCTCTGTACTGATGCGTGTATCAGAAGCATGGGTCCAGTCTGTACTTCATGCGTCTAAAAGTACGTCCTACGTGACTCTACACGTGTCTACCTGAAGGCAGAGACGTACCTGTCGAGCCGTCGCAGCCTTCGGTGTGAGAAGAACATCCACCTTCTCCTTCAGCATCTAGCCCCGCATAACACATATAAACAACAGATATATCACTGGCAGCTAATTATTCTTGTATGCGCTAGCTCTTCATTTGCCTATTCCTAATCCCTCCCCCATGCCACCCACTTAGCGCCAGCAGGCGCGCACGTAGTGATATACGACGACCGAAAGTTTCTTGCTACATGTTCTTAAAGCATTCAGCCCTTGATTTGCATACGACTTGAGCAGCCGCAATCCGCAATTAGCACTTCTAATCTGACCTTAAACATTCGAAATCGTGGAGCTGTTCCTTCAATCTATCGTGCTGTCTTACTTGCTGTGTTACCTGCGTTCTTTTTCAAATTAACCAGCCCGACTGTTGAACGCGTGTGTCGCGAAAGTAAAAAAACTCGCGAGTGATAAACTATCTTGCGGATAACTCCGACGTGCTTCTTCTACGCGTTTCGTTGCTTTTGCCGGCTTACCATAGCATCGTCTTTTCATCAAAAGTAAGAGATTTATGGTTAACACAAAGGCAATGGCATCTTAAAATTTCATGGATCAGTAACTATCGAAAGTAACGATTACGTTCGTGTTTTATTTCTACCGCCTGGAGATGATAGATGCTCTTAGCCAAACGGAACGGTTTCAGGAACGTTCGTATCCAGCTTCGAGATTCGAAATCGATACGGCTTTATACGCCACGTGGGGTTTGAATTATAAAATCGGTTCCAATGGTAACGTTTAAGAGATAACACTCGGCCTATAAATGTAATTGATTACACAATTTAGTAAAATGTATATGAACATCCAATATCTATCTACGCACTTATCTAATCGTTATTAGGTTAAACATAAAATGTTTCTGATTGTATATCCCCACGGAAAAAAATATATTTCATTATATATAAAGAAAAGTAGAAAGGATACATTCGTTTTGTATTACTCGTATATGCGTTATAAGAAAAATATACTACTACTATAAATGTAATACCAATAAATTGTAATTTTTCATATATCATTCATATGTATTAAAAATATATGATAAAATGTATTATATATATATACTATAATAGTGGTTATATAATTATATACGTCTATAAATGTATGCATTGTATATTTTTATATATTGTATCATATATTTTATATAAAAATATTAAAAGGAATATAAAAGGAAGTGTATATAAAATATATGTATATTCCCTAATAGCACATGTAGGTACTGCGAACGTTTGGAGGATATCTATAGACTGTGAACGGTACATCTTTTGGTATACAGGGTGTTATGTAATACCCGCATCAACGCTTATTGTGGGATAGAGTGGACTAGACTAAGTCGAAAAGTCCTCTACCATTTTGCAATTTTCGCAAAAGTCAGCGAGTTATTAATTATTAAAAATCGCTGTCTTAGGCCGGCCCACTGCCCAATTCAAACGTGCGACGAGATCGATCGATCGTTACAACTCTCTGCGCGCCTAGTAACGATCGATCGATCTCGCCGCACGTTTGAATTGCCCAGTGAGAAATGATTCGTCGATCGACGTCGAAACGACGTCGAATCGACATCGACACCGGCGAATTGGCGTCGATTCGACGTCGTTTCGACGTCGATCGACGAATCATTTCTCACTGGGTGGGCAGTGGGCCGGCCTAAAACAGCGATTTTTAATAATTAATAACTCGCTGACTTTTGCGAAAATTGCAAAATGGTAGAGGACTTTTCGACTTACAATTAGTCTAGTCCACTCTATCTCACAATAAGCGTTGATGCGGGTATTACATAACACCCTGTATATTCGGTACGTGTTACTCACATCTCAATAAACACAGTTAAGCTTATGTTATGTAATCAAGGATATACACGTCTATGTGTATAATATTGCATTAGGTGTTCTAAGTATCTTAGAATTTAGGCTCTCAACGCTTTACCAGCGCGGATCAAATTGATTCCATTTGCCACAACTGTTAGATCTGATTTCTCGCCACTTCTTATATACTGCTGTTAGTTGATTTTTAAATACGAGAAAGTGTAATCGCCGCCTCGCGGCAGCGAAAAACGTTATTGCGAAATTATAAAAATATAATTTAAATATTGTTCATATATTTCACATACACCTACATTTTCAGTATATTTTGACATATATAATATTGTATATACGATTTTTTAAATAGAATTTTTATATACCAAATGTATGAAATATATTACCATATATATTCTTCTCTCTCTCTCTCTCTTTCTCGCGAATGATTAAAGAAGCGTATATTAATAAGCTCCTTTGAGAAAAAAGATTAATTGTGATAAGGGCGATAGGAGCACATGGCGATAAAGCGAAACTTGACAATGTGCTTATAAAGAGATGGAATGAAACCGAACACGATTGTTAGTTGTTTAACAAAATAAATATCGACGTGTTTAATATAATGTCAGACGTTTCGGTCGCTGATACTGACGCTTTATCGTCATATGCTCCTATCGCCTTTATCATATGTAATAATTAAAGAATCTGAGGACTCACGTACGCGACAAAGATCCGCCGAATGCCGATCCACGAACGCGTCGAATTTACCTTGAAACGCGAGATACGTGGTGAAAACACGCCGTACAACGTTACTGAAGTAACGTAATAGTTGAACGTACAAAAACAATTGTTTTTGTACGTTGAAATATTTCGTTGTGCCAAGTGGTAACAGCCCATACGTCACAAGGTCGACCGTACGTAGTTGTTTACGAGCGCGCCGCGAAGGCCGTGACTTTGCGGGAGTTACCTGGCCGGGCCATTCACACGGCGACACTCGAGCAGAGAGGTAGCGGCGCGAGCTGTCGTTATTAATTACAATACATCGGACTGAACGCTTGATGTACGTTTTTCGACGTCAAATATCCCGTGCCGGCGACCAACGTGTTCCGGCGTGTGAAACTCGAGGCTCACTCTCAAGTCTCTCAAAGCTATCGCATGGTTCCTCGGCGGCGATTAAATCCACCAAACGGACGAGACTTCGATGCAGTGTGATCCAGCGATTCGAGGACCGGAGTTAAGGACTGAATCACGCAGATAGCAAGTGTATCTGTGAAATTTGTGAACGCAGCGGTGCGTTGAAAGACTTTCGTATGACTTTAAATCGCCGCCGATCGTACAAGCGGCTCGCCGCGTCGCATTTTCGGGAGTGCCGGGTATCGTGCGATCGCGGTTATCAGTTCGCTGTGCTATCGGTACTAATTACAATACATCGGACTGAACGCTTGATGTGCGTTTCTTGACGTCAAATATTCCGTGCTGACAACCAACGTTCCGGTGTGTAAAACTCGTGGCTCACTTTCAAGCCTTTTAAAGCTATCGCATGGTTTCTCGGTGGCGATTAAACCCACCAAACGGACGAGACTTCGATGCAGTGTGATCCAGCGATTCGAGGACTGAATCACGCAGAAAGCAAGTGCATCCGTGAAATTTGTGAACTCAACAATGCGTTGAAAGACTTTCGTATGATGACTTTAAATCGCCGCGTCGGATTTTCGGGAGTGCCGGGTATCGTGCGATTGCGATTATCAGTGCGTTCTCGTAATTCCGACTTCGGGAGTGTTGTGCAATGTGTTGGGAGTGCTGGGCAAAATGTTGGGAGCGCTGTGCGCGATATTATCGGTCAGCGTGTAACCACGTTCTCTCCGCGTTTTCGGGCGCGATCGCCTTATCACAGTCCCTCGCGTCAGGAGGACGAGTGCGTTCGTACCGGCGAGGAGTCGCAATAATCTTCATAGCGGAGAGTTATTTCTCGTCTGCTCCCGCGGGATTCGTCCACGACGTCTAGTTCGGTGTACCGTCGAAAGTTGGAGATTCCGCGTTGCAGGGCTGGAATTAAACGCTGGTTTTCTCGGCGGTTCCCGGAAGCTGTCGCTTTGGCAATGAATCAACGACGAACTACCGTTCGTGTTTCACTGCGCGTGTTCGAGAAGTAAATTAAATATTCCGAAAGGAGATTTTTCCCTTTCTTTCTTTCTCTTATTACGTGCTCCTCCATTAATATTAATAATAGCGTCAGTTTTGCTTGAACGATAATGAGACTTAACAGTAGCGAGAATATGAATAGAACGAGTGCCCGACTCTATCAACTGAATAAGTTGAATTTACAATCAGTTTCCTTAGTCTTGCTTTAACGATTAACGTGGTTACGAATGTATATATTATTTTGCGAATGTATATATATAATATTTCAGCTTTATGCTTTAACCTTTGCTGTGTTTTACTAATTCTAGGTACGGCGGATCCTGCTATTCCACATCGATTATTAACTTTTTAATTAACTTTAGACAACTTTCAGTTGTAAAATACATGCATGAACGGTGAAATGTTTTTATTTGACAAATAAAGATCAACTTCGGACAATTCACTTGGTACAATTTGCGAAAAGTAACGTGTACTCTTTCCGTTTAGCATCGCGGCGAGCGTAATCCAAAGTGTGCGGGCACTTAATAGATTCGAGGCAAGTCGACTGGGTACCCCGATATCAATCGGATATCGATAACCTTTAGACAATTCTTTCCAAATGCATTTTTTTCACGCAACAGACACAAGCGACAAGTTGATAATTTTGTCGAACTTTAGATTCGCATTTTTTTTTGTTTTCAAATCCGGCTGTTATCGGTTTCGATTTGCCTCGGACAGTTGGTACCCGAGAATTATTTGTGCCCGCACATATAACAAGCTGCAGCGAGCAATGCATGTATTTTATTTCTCTTAAATATATTTATTCGTAACCACGCAGTTTTCCACAAGGATCGTTCTATTTCACTTATATGTCAATGAAAAGAAACACGGTTTCTGAATAATGGGAGAGCACAATATATGCTCGCGCGAATTTGTACTCTCGCCTAACAGCCTGGCGTCATGCGGATTGAGAGAAAAGAGGTGACTGTCGTTGATTCGCTGCCGAAACGACCGCTGTCGGGAGCGGTCTGGAAGATCCGGGATTCGTTCCCTCCTGCAGCGCGTCTTCGACGTTCGACGGGCCGCTTAGCTTTTCTTCGCGGATTAATCCCGCGG